CAAGGGGTGTCTCCCCCCCCCCCCCCGCTTCCGTCTTCCCCTCCTCTGTTAGTCACTGATCTCTCGTTGTTTTCAGATGAAAAACCGTTCTGATCTTGGGTCTACCTCTTTTGTTTTTGCGGCAATAAAAAAAAGGGAGGAGAGACAGAAGTACAGCAGAGAGAAGACGAGTGTACTTCTGCAGACGCAACGGCTATCTCCACCCATAGGCCATGAGGGCTGCCCGCGACAGGACGGTGGACACAGACAGGATCATAGAAGGGTTGATGCGTGGTCGCGGTGCGGCCAATAGCGCAGTTTAGGCTTGTAGACCTCGAAAAGATCAGTCGTCAAGCCGCCTGAACTAGTCCATTTTCAGTATATTCAAATGATCAGTGAAAATGATCAGTGAGAGGGCTTGTCCACCCATGGCTGGTTCTTGTACTTCTGTACTTCTCTGTCCCCTCCCCAATGTGAGCCCTGCCGGCTCACTACAGATCCTGTGATTTTCCCACAAGCACGCAAGCACACACCAGCACACACCTACCTTTGCATCAGTGGCTCTCCAGGTTCGGGCGAGGGTATGTGTGGGGCTATGCTGATAGTGTATGTGTTACTACCTACTCTGCTGTTTAGTTGGACTCGTCTATACGGCTGCTACTGTGTAGATTAGCCGCTGACATTATGACTGTGCTGGATCTTGGGAATGTACGATTTTCGAATTTGGAGGATATATGCAGCATACCACGATATCCTGGCCTGTTTGGGCTTGAAGTGCCCCTTTTCGCTGTCCTCCTCTCTTGGCTTTAGTGGCTTCCTTGATTCGGGCGAGGGCCTGTATGTGGAGTTATTGATGTGTGTCCCTGTGAAGGGGTACAAGGATATCTAGTTTATTGGACGAATAGTGCGGGAAGACGCACTATTGAGGCTTTGGAGAATCGTGAATAGTGCGGGAACCCACACTATACACGCCCGAAATTAGATAGTGCGCGGGGTCGGTATAGTGCGGGTTCTTTGGTTTGACACGTACCCGCACTATACCGACACCTCGGCTGTATGGGGAGAGATAAATGGTGGTATTCGTATTTGAGCAGTGTGCATTATTCTAATTTCGGCCGTTCCAGGAACTTTGATATTTCCCGCTGGCACTAACGTCTTTCATTGGCCACCGGGTAGTGCGGTCGATGAGAAAATAAAAGACACGCCTACCTATTGACTTGCCAACACCTGGCGTGGAGGGATACAGGGCGGCAACTGCATGGCATGCCACAACACAGCATTTACAAATGATCAATCAAGATCTGCCAGGACGCCTGTAGACCCAAAAGGGTTAACGACAAAAAAATCACGGAACTTTTCACGGAATCGTTTTTTCTCGAACATGAATGGAGGCGTTTTTCCCCGAAAACGTGAAAAGAAGGAGCCGGGAATTGTGGGGCTTGCTACTTTCACGGATCCGTGCTTTTGACAGAAGCATCGGACAAGCGCACCGCGGGCGCTGTAACATCACTGAGAACGCTAGAAAGACCTGCCAGACTCACGTCCAGATCTGTTGTGGAGATGGACAAGCGGCAGAAGCGGCGTTCAGTCCGTTCTTGGTCCAAAACTAGACATTGCGTAGTGCTCTCGGCTTCAACTGCTGCTGTTGGTGCTGGGGAATTTTTTTCAATCACACATCGCAAACACGGAAACAGTAGAACGAGTGCAGCAGCACCACCAAGACCTCCAACGCGCTGATTCCTTCGGTTCGGCTGTCTTTATGATAGCATCTCCCGGCACCGTGCTGCTTCGTGGGTATTGGGTGATTGAGTACTGCTCAATAAGGTGTGTGAGAGACGTGTGCCACCTCACCAAAATGCCGTCGGAAGAAATGCGGCGAGGTTATCTGTTTCTGGTCGGACACGTCAACATCAATCCACGGCACCACGCAGCAGAAGAGCAGCAGGGCCTCCGACACGCCATTCTTTCGGATTGGCCATCTAAATGATGCTGGCCGTCAGCGCGACTGCCGCCCTATGATTGTTGAGCTCGTCTACCTTTGGGCAGGTGGTGGTCAAAGATGGGAGTCGCAACCGTGAAAAATGAGCTGGCAAACTGAAGAAATCGCAAGCAACACACCCAGGTTGCGACACTCTGCCCTGCGCCTGTTGTTGCTGAGAACTGAAAACAGCAGGCCGGGTGGAAAGGATTTTCTAAGNGCATCTCCCGGCACCGTGCTGCTTCGTGGGTATTGGGTGATTGAGTACTGCTCAATAAGGTGTGTGAGAGACGTGTGCCACCTCACCAAAATGCCGTCGGAAGAAATGCGGCGAGGTTATCTGTTTCTGGTCGGACACGTCAACATCAATCCACGGCACCACGCAGCAGAAGAGCAGCAGGGCCTCCGACACGCCATTCTTTCGGATTGGCCATCTAAATGATGCTGGCCGTCAGCGCGACTGCCGCCCTATGATTGTTGAGCTCGTCTACCTTTGGGCAGGTGGTGGTCAAAGATGGGAGTCGCAACCGTGAAAAATGAGCTGGCAAACTGAAGAAATCGCAAGCAACACACCCAGGTTGCGACACTCTGCCCTGCGCCTGTTGTTGCTGAGAACTGAAAACAGCAGGCCGGGTGGAAAGGATTTTCTAAGTGTGTTGTCCTCTGTGTCGGATGCTGCTCATTGCGCTTGTACCGCTGCTCTATGGTGAGCAACACCAAGTCAACCTGTTGTGTGCCGAGGAAAGCGTGTATTCAGGGAAGGAAACTTCTTTTTTTTGCGATGGCATCACGAACAGAACAAGCGGAAAAAAGTCGAGTTTTCATTTCACCGTTCCGTGGAAAATTGCTCGACTTTTCCGAAGCGTCAATAACGAGCCTTACCTTCTAACTTATTATTGTCCGTACGTCCGTACTGGATCTCACTGACGCGGAAGTGTCCGTGGTCACAGACCAATTACCCCCCAGAAGGGGGTACACCTTTCAAATACTAACGAAATGGACCCGAGAAAATCTACATAAATAGACGCGATTTGCGACCCAAATGGAAAAGAACGACCGGTCAGTGAGCGGGACACGAACGACCGGTCAATAAGGTGAACGAAAGAATGGAAAAAAACGAGGAGCCCGGAGAACGGAAACAAGCAGCAAAGTTACAGGCCCCAACGCTCCACGGGAACAACTAAAAATGGGCAAATACTAATACTAACCCGTCACCAAACAAACGAATGGCATACGACGACAACAACATCACATCGGGGTGTGTGTGTGGAGAAGGTAGAATACTGAGCGGAGAAAAAGGTTTGCGACGATAACCACCACCCAGGAGACTGCCGCACCGCACGGATTCCATGGTTAAGCGTAGCCACAGATGGGGAAGTAGAATCCTATTTTTCTCGAGAGCATTGTTTGTCCGCGGGCCTCGTGAGGCTGGAATCGCATGTACTATCTCAGTCATTTGTGTGTGGTGAGCACCAGCCCTCTCCGAATATGTATGTATGTGTAGGTACCAGCACGAACACCAGAAGGATTTTGTTCTCCCAACTCTCGCGAGAAGTGTTTGCTTTGCCAACTTTCCCTCGCTCGGGCGTATATCTACTTGGCCTTCAACTTCTACAGCAGTAGTGTATCGTGAAAAGGTTTCATACATAGTCTACCTGGTTGTGTTACTCACGACTCTGCGCTCCACCTGCTGCTGTAGGTTGCATTTTCACTCCAAGAGAATTGAACGCGCAATCTATGTAGAGGAGGAGTCGCCAGGGTTGAGAGGTTAGGTTACCAACTGAAACCGCCGGGGCAAACGGCTTCTGTTTTCTGGAACAGACGAACACAGATATGCAGAGTTCGATTTGGCCCTCTCAAGCGTATCAAATGATTTTGTGTATCGCTTTTGAATCGCTCGCCATCCTGGCACGATTCCGATGAAGGTACAAGCGACGGTCCTGTTTTTTGTGTGGCTATTTTCGAAAAGCGTACTGCTTCGTCGGTCTACTACGCTGTCGTCGGTCCTTGTCTGATGCTGTCTTCAGTGTGAATTTGATTCGAAATCACATACAGCGTGCAGCAGTATGCATACAATAGGTTCGCGGTGTTGCCTTGAAGAGTATGCACACGGAAAATAATGCGGCGTACGTGGTGGTGATAATGGTGGTTCAATGTGAGCACATCCCAGCACCAGTATCACAAATACGCTTTGCATACCATTCATTGTTGCGTTTCCCATTTGGAGATTCGGATAGTCTCTGATGTAGACATACTCAATTGTCCGTACAGCAAATCAGGATAAATGGTGTGAAATCGTCTGTCTGTTTATAGCTCGTGGAGCTTGGCAATGCATTTTGTCGGAGGGTTTACCTGCGAGGCTGTGTAAAGGGCATTGGCGGAGCTCTAACACCGGGAGAGTGATATCGTGCGTTCGACGGCCGCGTCGTGTTAGAACACATTTATCTGGTAGTCTGACGCTGAGGAAGGATCCACCTTTAGTCAAGCATGTCTGCGATGTTCTTGACTAAGACAACTTACCCTGCCACGTTTATTAGTCCAGCTGTGCTAGGTGAGGCGAGGAAGATTCTCTCCCGATGAGCCCAGTTTGTCGAGGTGACGCTGACATATCATGTCCACGTCGCCTATGTAGTCTGGCTTTTGGCACTTCACCTTTCAACTGACTGGGTCATCCGCTCTGTTTCGTGTGCCACCATCTCGGTGTTGGTTTTCCTGCCTCACCCTTCTGTTGCTCCCGCAAACGTGATCAGCTCGGAAGCTCTCGTAAGTGCCCCGATTATCAGACGGGCCGACTACTTGTCGGGCCGCGATGATAAATCTGTGCGGGAGCTGTCGGCGCTGGTAGGCACCCTGGAGAACGCTAGATCTCGCCCGCAGGGCGTGAAGAGAGTTAGGGATCCGGTGCTGAGCGACAGCTACTTCACAGATGTTGATGGAAAATGCTGGCGAGAGAGCGACGGTGAGTGGGTTATGATGCTCGCCGAACTGTGACGAGGTACACGCTGGTGCCTACTCAATTTTGGTGTGTTTTGTTGTGGCCTGTTAAAGAGTAGACTAGCGTGACACTGAGTCACTTGTGTGCCTGTGTTCCTTGCGCATTTCCGTCGTTTGGCTGCTCAAGGTCAACCCTCCATGGTGTCAGTGTTGGGCGCTCATGGCATGTCTGGTCCATCAATTACGATGATATTGATTGCTTAAACCCCCTCTTCTGGCATATTTCGCACGGTGCATGCTTTCCGAGCAACAAGAGGGGACCCAACGAGCTTGAAAAACCATGCCTTCGCGAATCTACGTCGTGGGCGTAACTTCGGGGCCTCTGATTGATTCGTGTGTTGTCCCGATAGGAATATCCCGTCCTCCCTCAAGCCGTTTGCCCGCACTGCCCGCATCTTTCACTGCCAAGCAGGCGACACGGACACGAAGCCATTGTGCTTCGTGCTACCGTCAGCCATGAAGGAGAATTTGCAGGAACTGCACCAAATATTCTCCTCCAAGATCGTGGGTAAGGATGATGTCCTCCTGAACGTGTTCCCGAAGCACCAGGAGGAGATCGAGGCGTATCCGTACCCCACGCGGGTGGAGGAAATACTGGATCCGGATCACTTCGCGAAGCGTCTATGCGACTGTGGCGCGGTAGTAGCGAGTCGCCTGCACGGGGCGATCCTTGCCCTCCAAGCCGGAGTACCGACGATCGCCGCTTGGCCAGCTGCGGAGGGCAACAAGGTGCCGGACCTCATGAGGGATGTCATGCGGCTCAGGGATCAGTTCGTCTTGATCAACAACTCCACTACGCGGCGAGATTTGGATACGAGGATCAAGAAACTCCGAGATGATTACTCGGCGGGACGACGGAGTCTTGTGTTCGACAAGCTTGAGTTCGTGGCTCTGCACACCCAGCACGAGTGTGCGCACATGCTTTCGGGCGTTGCTCACTTGCAGCTAACGCCAGAAGTGGCCTCGCGGAGACGGCCAAGTTTCGGTGGCTTCTGGGAGGAGATGAAGCGTACAAACGATTCCCAGGGGGAGACAGAAGGCGAGGTCCGAGTTGCCGAACAAACTGAGGAGGGGGGCAGAGGATCTAGTCTCAAGCTGGGCGCAGTGAGCAGGCGTCATGGCGGGACAGAATCTCTATGGATGAGGTTGGGGAGAGCGTGGGGACCGGACGGCACAACCCTTGCCCCTACTCTAACCGGGGAGGAGTTGCCATTTGCGAGGAATACGTATGTGGCGTGGATAGCTCTGGCCATGATAGCTCTGCTGGGGTTACCCGGGTTGGCATATCGATCAAGGACGGAATTGGAAGCACATCGGGGTGCTGCTGCGTTTGATATGAAGGTGGAGGGCCCGGGGTTGCCGGAAGAAGGAATGGAGCCCTCCACCTTCTCCAAAGCGCGGGTGTGTGGCTCTTGCTGCCGCTGGAGCCCGGTCCGTTCACAAGATGTAGCGTTCTTCGGGCTCAACTATTTCCTCTGGGTCTTTCTGTGCTTGGGGTTCAGCATTTGCACCAAGACATACATGCGCGAGACCGGCAATCCCGTGGCGCTACTTGCCATCCAGGGGTGGGTCGGCGTTGGCGTGCTCTGCGCGACGAACCTGGCGGCGTGGCTTAGACGGCGTGGATGCTCGTCCCAACCTGCCTCCTACTCCCCAGCCAGCAGTATTGCTACTTCGCCAGACTCTTGTTTGTCGCCTAGCGTGTCCTCTCCCTCACCCTCCTTCCTTCCAGTCCCCTTCCCGACTCCATCTGAACCTGAATGGGTAGGGAACTGCGGGCTTAGGGAAGCAAGACGCTTGGGGCAAGGTGTGTGGCAGGCGGGAATGTTGCACTCTGCCAACGCGTTGCTGACGAGTTGGTCGGTTCTGGTAGGAGGAGTAGCTGCCACGCACGCCCTCAAGGCGCTTGAGCCAGCGGTGGCGGCCGGCTTCTCGCGATGGCTCCTTGGATCTTCGCTACCACCCGGCCGTACCGCCGCCGTCGCCATCATTGTGCTGGGCTTGGGCATCTTGATGATACCGGTGAATATTCGGCGGTGGGCGAGAGGAAGCGACGATGAGTCGTCCGACGTGGAAGGGGGGGAAGCGGGCGCTTTGATGGGCACGGGTCAGGGTGTGGCGTTTCCCGCAGTGATATCGGCGTGTGCCTGCTGCGCTGTTGTCCTGCGAAACGTCATGTTAAAGAAACCGGATCTTCCGCCGCCCCCGCCGCCTTTAGGGTTATTAGCTTGTAGCATTGTGGGCGCTGTGATCGGCTCGACGGCTTTGCTGGTGCCATGGTTGCCGTTCAGCTGGGAGTGGGCTGGAGAATCGCTGCTGCGCACGAGCGGCGTGAATGCGGCGCTTTGCTCTGCGGGGTACAACCTGGCGTCGTTCAATCTCCTTTCGGAGTTAACTCCGGTTGGGCATGCCGTAGGAAATGCCGGCAAGCGCTTTTTTTTGTTCACATCCGGGTTGTTTCTGCTTGGGGAAGCAGGAGCCATGTCTTCGAGACAGTTAGCTGGGATGTCGTTCGCCTTCGTCGGGTTTTCGGCTTACAATTTGGTGGAATCGTCCGTCACGTCCGCGTCGCTATCGTCCCGGTGAGATGCGGCCGAGGGTGGGAGTTAAGAAGTAGACTGATTGGATTGGTACCAGAATGTCGCGTGCAGTGTTCAATTTGACATGTTATGTGAGGAGGAGAGCAACGGCTGTGCTCCCAATTGTGACTTGTGTGGTCCCCACTCAGCTTGCGCTATTTTGTGCAAGCTTGCTTCTGTCCCGCTTTCAGTGATTGGCGGTAACCAGCTCGATTTCTTGAAGTCGCTTTTATTGGTCAACCGACGGGTTTGCTTGTGTTCCATGCATGCGTGTACACGTTGGGGTCGTTGGGGACTCAGTTCTATGGGATGTGAGATTTCGACCTCCAAATCTCGCGGGTATGTCGTTGCTACAACTGTGTGTAGAGTACTGTAGTTTTTGTTTCGTGTTGAGGTTTCGCAGCTACATGAAACTGGGAGCTGAGCCTCTAGATATTTTGTAACAGGTTGTCCTGTGGTGTTCTTGAGTGAACACTTGCTGAGGGTGTACGAGTGCGTGCGGTGCAACGTGCACCACCGTGTCAGTAAGTCAGCAGACCTGTTTGACAGTGTAGGTGTCCCGAGCAGGTGTCCTGCCTAAAATTGTGTCCTTGTTGTGAAGCCTTATTCGAAAGACACCCCCTCCCTCGCTGTAACTTCCTGATTTTGCGTGTGTATTATGTGTTCGGCAGACGGTCCGTACGTGCGTTGTCATTAACTTTTTGTCCGCAGTTAGAATCAGTGATTGTTTAACCTAGGTCTCGGACTCAGCCCAACTCCCCATGACGTATATCCTAAATTCTAGTGTTCCTGCCTGAGGCGATCGGGTGCGAGGTGGGATGAGTTGGTTGGGATTTGGGTGTCGTAGACGATGCTCAATGAATTTTAGAAACTGCTGTGATATTCCTCTCCATGGTAATATTTGTCGCGTAGGCGCAAACGTCCGTACCCTTGGATTGATGTTTGCGCTTGGCTCCGAGGGCGACTACGTATCAGTAGGCGCATGCACGAAGGTCATCAACCGGTAGAGATGTAAGTTTCCTCAATGACCCCGGTGGTTACCTTGGTATGCATAGCCTCGTAAACACCCGGTGGCTAGGTCGGGAGTTCGTATTCGAGCTGAGCGTTTTTTTTCACGTGCGTGCAGGCTCTAACGGTGGCGTCGCTTATTTTCACCTGTCCCCGTATCGGAAACGATCTTTCAGCAGGTATATATGCACGTATCTGTTGAAGCATGAAAATGTTCTTGCGAGAAAAACAACGGCACATGCCGCGGGAGAGTTCATGTGTGTGGGGCCGATCCGAGCTCTTCTGTTTGAGAGGCACGACCGTGGTATGGGTAATACTCTGATCAATGGCTAATCTAGAGAAGAGTGATCGCCAGTTGCATCGGTTGGATAAAACTTGTGCAACGTCCCTTGACTACGAGCAGTATCACTGTTTCCGGGTGTCGCAGAATCCATCGACAACAACTCAATCCTTTCAGATTCCACTCAAGAACGAGGGCCTATGGACTCCTGTACAGACATGTCGTGGCCAACCGGCCGTATGAATTCTTGCATATGTGAAGCCACCTCAGACGGTCGTAAATTGTGACGTCAGATGACCTGTCGGAGATCTACCTTCGGGGTGTTACCTCAAATAGAGTCAGTGCAGGTTGGATGCTGAGCCTTGCTTCAACACAAGGTTGATCCCCACCTGACACACTCAACTCAACGTTCCGTACGTCACCCTCTCCACCAGAGGTTGATTCGGTGTGTATCCAAACCACCCATCCCTCAGGGAACTTGCTCACACGCGAACCTGGAGACAACAGTCTCATACATACCATAACTCTTTTTTTTACAAGTCTGAGCAAAACGATCGCCCTTGTATATAGTTGTATACAACAATAACGTTAGCAAGCCAAGGCAAGCAGAGAAGATGAGACGCCGTGGGTTTGTCATCAGGGGCGATTCCTCGTGTGTGTGTGGTATCAACGACACATGAAGCTATACTCTGGCTTGCAATCCCAAGCACTTTTGAAAACAAACGTTGTGCAGGGACTGGGGGGGAGGGGTACCTTGATGGCAAACCATCGGTCCCCTGTCCAAGGTTCCAATTACAAGATTACAAGAAAATATAAAAAGGACACGGGCAAACCCTCCGGACCCAGAGGGCCTAAGGCTCACACGCCATGACGAAGCGCGCGAATCCACCACCGTTGTCAAGATCCCTAGTGCAGGTGCGGTAGGCTGCCTCAGAGTCGCATTGCTGTATGTCTCTTCTCGTGTGTTATGTGTGTGTCATGTGAAACATCGGCGTTTGTTTCTTGCTGATGTCGGAGATGCAGGGAAAAGACTTCCTTTCCCATCGCGAGCAGCAAGGTCTGCTTATTTCATTTCGGGAGGGGCAAAGGGATACGGCCTCCAGCTCGTATAATACTAATCTACGGAGAGCGTGGCTCCTCTTGCTTTAATTGGGTTGTGAAGCTTGAATTGTTCCTGGTGTCGCGCTCTCTTGCTTGCCGGTACAGGACAATGTTCCCGCGAAAGTGACCGATCGGCTGTGGATTGGGTCCATCCATGCGGCGTTTAACCAGGACAGCATGCAAGATAGGGGGATCACGCACGTGAGTGGAGACCAACGGCTTGTTCGTCCTGTTGAGCGGCTCGTTTCGTCGTCCCCTTAGTGTACTGCCCCACAATAGAGAGACAGAGATACAGATCTCCCAGCAGGGAGATCGGGTAATGTACATATCCTTCGAGAAGTGTTGACATGTCGGCTCTACCGCCAGTGCTCGGTTCGTGCGCGCTCTATTTTCTTGCGGAAAAACGCTCTGTTTCATTCAATCCGGAGACGGCCTGTTCGTGAGGTTCTTGCCCCGTAAGCAGTTGCCCGTAGCAGTTGCCCAACCCACCAGGCGTTGGCCGACCTCAACAAAAGAACAAAGATGTATGACATGACGGGATGTGTTGTCACGATATCGTACATATGTCGATTGTTAATAAGCAAGCGATCCTACGAACATGTCTGAGGAGTGGCCAAATCGGGTACACCCGGCCCCAATCCGGCCATTATCGGGTACACTTGTTTTTCACAGTCGGCAGCGCCCTCCTGGCGCCATCTGACTGACCGACGCCCGCCCCTACCCGGCCCTGACCCTATTCCCACCGGGTGCACCCGATCTTGGCTACTCACCCCCCGGAGGGGTGCCCGATCTTACTCTCGCCTACCCGAAAATGGCTGGGCTATTCGGCCAACAGACCACCAGCAGACCACGCGCACGAACACACGTCACCAACACCCCGCACTTGAGTTCCGACGCTTCCGACGGCGGGCGGAGGCGGACGTAGCGCGGCCAACACGGCGGAACTCTCGTTTGAAGTGGATCTCTCTCCTGCAAGACTCCTCCTGCGACCCACCGCCGACGGCGGAACTCTCTCGGTTCTCGTTTCGTATCGGAGAGGGAGGAGATAGAGGGCCAGGCGGGCGGCGGTGGATGAATACCTCTCAATACCTCACGTGATCACTTGAGCTGCACACAAATACATGGCGCAGCTCAGATATGTCCACGGAAGCATCAGGCACAGAAGCATCAAGGTGTCGCTTTCGTCTGGAAAACATGTATAGTCTAGACACATCAAGACCGGAGATGTATGGCACGTTGTTGTGTACGCAGAGGGTCGTTCGTACACAGCAATGCAGCAGCAGCAAGCAGTGGATACCGTGGTTATGTCCCGATCAAGACCGGAGATGTATGGCACGTTGTTGTGTACGCAGAGGGTCGTTCGTACACAGCAATGCAGCAGCAGCAAGCAGTGGATACCGTGGTTATGTCCCGATCAAGACCGGAGATGTATGGCACGTTGTTGTGTACGCAGAGGGTCGTTCGTACACAGCAATGCAGCAGCAGCAAGCAGTGGATACCGTGGTTATGTCCCGATCAAGACCGGAGATATATGACACATTGTTGTGTAGGAAGAGGATCGTACATACAGTAATGCAGCAGCGGCAGGCACTGGATGCCGTGGGACCTCAGATTAAACAGCGATAATTCCTTGACTTCGACCTCTCGTCAATACGTGGGAGAGACAAGGATCTGCGGGCTTGCCAAAGGAGATGGGGAAAGATAGAGAGAGTGGTGGTACACGCAGCATGAACGCTGTCCTAAGATGGCTGGTGGTGAAGTAGTACGCGCCTTGCGCGAGGACCGCGGTGTTCTCTACTTCATCGCTCATATTCTACCGATGCCAGTCGACCGTTCATTCACGAGTGCCGAGATTAACCACGAGAGACTTGGTGGGTTGAGGAGCGAGATCTACTTGCAGGGGCGAGATCTACTTCAAACGAGAGTTCCGCCGCGTTGCAGGAGAGAGATCCACTGATCCACTTCAAACGAGAGTTCCGCCGTGTTGGCCGCGCTACGTCCGCCTCCGCCCGCCGTCGGAAGCGTCGGAACTCAAGTGCGGGGTGTTGGTGACGTGTGTTCGTGAGCGTGGTCTGCTGGTGGTCTGTTGGTCGAATAGCCCAGCCATTTTCGGGTAGGCGAGAGTAAGATCGGGTACCCCTCCGGGGGGTGAGTAGCCAAGATCGGGTGCACCCGGTGGGAATAGGGTCAGGGCCGGGTAGGGGCGGGCGTCGGCCAATCAGATGGCGCCAGGAGGGCGCTGCCGACTGTGAAAAACAAGTGTACCCGATAATGGCCGGATTGGGGCCGGGTGTACCCGATTTTGGCACTCCTCGAAAAGTTTCATCCTTGCAGCCTCTTGACTCGAATCCTTGTGCAACAGCGAGATACACATGCGACGACAACATGAGTCGGAACTACTGCTGTAAGACTTCACAACGGTGCCATGGTAAATGCATATGCATCACCATAATATCCGCTGCTGCAGTCGGTAGAGCATGAGCCCGCAAACGCACGCCATGTGCGTGTGTATAGTGCACCTGCAGCGGTTGATGAGCGTGCGGTGTGCGGTGTCCGCTGCGAAAAGTTCTTTGTTGACCAATTCGGACCATTCAGTCTGATATGCAAGGACTCACGATGCTCCATTAAGTCTCGTGTTCACTACAAGCAGAGGCATTACCCACCCTTGCTGGAAGGGCTTGGAACCCTTTCCCTTTTGAGGAGGCCTGCCTTGGGTGAATGTGCTCTGTAGCTTCCTTCGGAGACCTTTGCCGGTGACTCATTCGTATCTCGTGCACACCCTCTGATTTCTTGTTGGAATTTTTGAGGTTGCACGCAGAAGATTCTAGCTCTCACCTGTTGCACAACAATTGTGTTGCAGCCGACGGCACAGCAGGGCACAGGCACTCAACCCAACCTCCGGCTGGCGTCTTGAAGGGCTGAGCTTCGTGTGTTAAAAAAAATCGTAAGGAGGAATGCCGTTACATTCCTTCGGAGCTTACCTACCTCTGATTCAAGGATGTAGAATCTCGTCTGGTTGAAAGATACCCTTATGCAAGCACGGAGGCGATCTCCCTGCCTCTGTTCTGTAGCATGCTATGCATATCTTGATGGCAAGGATGTTCCTGCGCAAGAACGCACAGGAACTCATAGCGGCTTGTCCCTTCCGCGGTGTGTGCTTGCGCTGTTGTTGGGTTGGTCTTGCGAGAGAACCGTGACTGGTGTAGCGTGCTTTCGTGTCGATAAACCTCTTGCTAGTTTTCGGGAAGCTTCGTTCAAAGTACGACGCAGGTTGTTTCTTTGTTCCGTCACCACTCGAAACGACACCAACTGCCGTTTTGACGCAACTCACTCTCTCATCTCGCGCAGGTCCTGAACGCGTCAGGTTTGCCGGCAACGTTTCCCCGGCAATTCACCTACTTTACCGTGGACATTCGAGACAAGTGAGTCACCTCGAGCGTTGGTAGGGTCAACATGTGGATGATTCGACCGCCGCATGGCGTCGCCATCCTCGGAAACAAGACTTGATTTAAGATGTTCATGCTAAGTTCGGGCATATATATCTGCCACGCTGCTGTCTGCACGCACACACACGTACGGGCAACAGCTCTTCGCCTTTGTTTGCCCCTCGGTGTAAGAGTATTCGGGAATATCCGCTGGTTAAGCAGAATCCTTCCGCACCACCAAAACTCAAACTTGCTCTTGCCCCGATGCCCCGAAACACGGCCGCGCTCAACCCAGGGAGAGCTCCAACATCCTGACCGCCATCGGGGCTGTCAACATCTTCGTCGAGGCCGGGATAGAAAAAGGAGGCGTTCTTGTCCACTGCGCCGGCGGACGGTCCCGCTCGGCGGCGTTTGTCGTGGCCTTCATAATGTCAACGCAGGGCTGCTCCTATGACGCCGCCTACGCGCAGGTACGACGGGCCCGGCCAGTCGCCTCCGTGAACCGCGGCTTCGAGCAGCAGCTAAGGGCGTATGGCGCCGCTCAGTGCAACGTTTTCGCCGCGCACCAGATGATGCTCCGTATCCGAGCGGCGGCACTCTTGGATCGAAGAAATTTGCTCCTCCTGCGAAGGAGCAGTGGCGTCACGCCGTCGGAAACGGTCGGAGATGGCGCGGAGGGAGGGGAGGCAGCAGAGCACACCAGGACATCGCCAACAAGGGCGTCTGCTCAACACCAGCTAGGTGCAAGAGGGGCGGCGGCTGCGGCGGGGTCAGTGTCCACAGCGGGAATACCGCCTACCCCGAGGTCTCCGCGCGGAAGGGGACGGTCGCCCGCCGGGGTAAACCCTGCGATGTCGTACCGGCAGCAAAGGAGATGGAGCGGGAGCGGTAACGGGAGTGCGGCTGTCACCACTGCGGTGGTAGCGGCAGCTGCAGCAGCGGCGGCGGCGGCAGCGGCGGCGGCGGCGGGGGCAGGGAAGTCCCGCGAGGAGCAAACGCAGTTTTTACCGAAAGAGGTATGTTCTGGAGTATCATCGCTACCGGGAGAGGGGAGGGGGGAGGGGGGGGGGGGGG